GATAATTTGCCCATGCGAACAAGTTGCAGTATGTTCATGCTCTAACAATTTTCTTCTAATTGCGTCTGCAACTTTGAAGCTTTGGATTAATTGAGGCAAAAATAGCACAAGTGTGTGACCTTAATATACTGAACCATAAATGTAAACCAATACAACAACAAATAGAAGGCAAAATAGAATACAACATGATTTGCTTTATCAATTGAATCATATCTACAAAAAAAGAATGGACGAAAGGATCAAATTCACCATTACCGGTGAAAAGATGAGCATTTCATAATACAGAAGCCACTCAAGATTGGAATCTTGTTAAAATAGATTATCTCATTCATAAGAACTTTGTGGACTCAAATTGATTTTATCAGATGTCCACTTTGAAGGAATTGCCTGATCTCCTTGTTCCTTTCTGTTCGGGCACCAAGACATTGCCATGATTTGTTCTCTCGCTTTGGTACTTCTGATTGAGGAGTTGATGACATTCCAGCATTTGTATCTTTGTAAATGGATGACAGGCTCTCTTGAGCTCTGCAAAATAGATAAGAATGAGCTAGTGTTCAGCAGCAAACATGAATTTTTAGATCAACGGTTTATATAATTCTACTAATTAGCTCCAATTTTAAGTGTATCTGCAATTGCTATGATTTTTTGAAACTAAGAGAAGTCCATCCAGATGCATGACAATAAGGCTCTTCTTCAGCTCTCAATCCAATCCAATCAAATATCATAGTCAAAACTAATCTGCTCCTACTTTTACAATTTGACATTTAAATATCCGGAAAGAACAAGAGCTTCTTTAGCCAAGTCTAAACCCTTCCTCTCCTCTTCAAAAGTATGGCAAATGATTTCCAATAAATGGTCTGTTCCAAGCTACTGTTATCTTCAAGTCCACTTAGGTGATATTGGATATGGATCAAGCCAAATTTTTTCTTAATTTTGTCAATCCAAACAGGAACTGTAGCTTGACCGTTTTCCTAACAATGTGTCGTCAATGTGCCATGCAATCTCCCCAACTTGTGAACAATGATGCATTCTGCCTAAAAAAAAAAATACACTTCGCAGTTTTCCTATTATGACAGCGTCGACCTGCAAAAATTAAGGTTCCAAAGCCAATTTGAGAGATCAAAGACTACAAAAATATTATTTACTTGCTCGGGAAAACGTGGAACACAAAGTAGAAGCACAAAAAGGATACCAGTATGAAACAAAATAGAATCTTGAAAAATTTAACATATGTAAAAGTTAAATCACTTTGAGTTCTTTCACAAGAATTTTCGACAAAAAGATAACAATATATTTAAGTGCCTCATACTATAAGATTCTTATAGGTGTTTACTGTGATAACACGCCCTTTTGGATAGTATACTTACTCTTATACTACAGTCATGTAAAATAAATTATTGCATTACCTATTCATGCATATAACAGGCTTTCTATGCATTTAAGAACTTAGGCATCTTCTATTCGCAGCGTAATTCTTTTTGGTATATATACTAATCAAACTTTTTCTTTCATTAAATGAATACAAACCAAAGTGCTATACGATCTAAAAGCAAATATCATTTTAAAAGACAGACAAATATCACCGCAGAATTTCTCCTCTATTGCCGGTTCAACCAGGCAAAGATACTCTCTTCAGAACCGAACGACAATTCTTGCATAAAACATAACATCATAGTCATATGTAGATGTTATTAATATACATATAAAACAGTGATCATTAGCACCTGCAAAGATGAAACTTACTGCAAGTTGGAAATCTGGAGGAGTATCTAATTCCAAATTATCCAGCTCTGAAATTCCATAGGTTGTGTTACCATTTCCTTGTGATAAATGGCAAATGTAATGAGTGTAGTCAGTAGAAGAGCCAAGATTATGTCCAAAACTATCAAGATAAAAAGCAAGAAGTTCATCACACAATAGAGAATTATCAACATCATTTGCGTCAGCTCCTTGTGATTCTCCAACCAAAGTCGGGATGAACTCATCAATAAATTTGTGTTGCTCGAAATTTGCCACCTCGCACTTTTCTTCCAAATACTCCAAGAGCTCCACATCAGATGGTTAAACATCACAACAACAGGTAGATAAGGCCATCCCTGAGAAACTTGAATCAGTAAGCAGCAAAATGTTAAAGCAAATTTGAAGAACTAATTTATAAATTATGATACATGTATTTGCTGGCCTGTGTTTGAGCTAAGGAAAAAAGGAACACACTTTACTGCAGGGATACTTACCTGATCATGGAAAAGGAAAGTAGGATCTGCCATATGATGTGTTAAATGTCACACGATCCTTCTTAACTTGTCTTGCAAAATACAAACTAAAGACAAACTCCACCTACGAAACCAGTCTATACAAGATAGCGAAAGGACTTCATGTCAATCCTGATTCGAAGTAACAATTTCAATCCATGAGAACTCTGAGTGTCCCAAAAAGAAAAACCCAATGAGGCCAAAAAAAAAAAAGAAATAACACCTGCAAATAAAAAACCCTAATTTCTAATCCAAATCCAATAGAGAAACAGGACAAGGTCGGTCGTACTTCTTCTCTAATACGCAAACACCTAGCCAATCGACACCGAAAATTAAATTTTGCAGTACAATAGTACGATTACCTTGATGGAACAAAGCTAAAGCAGCGAACAAACATAGCCGAAACCTGGGAAATCTTAGCAATGGGAAAAAGCCGAAGAAATTAGGTTTAAACTCCAATTTAACAGCTCAAAATTAGGTAAAAAATATAGATTTACCAAGTAAAAAATTAGGTAAAGCATATAAAAAGAAGAATGCAGAGCAACAGCCATAAATCGCAGCAATTGTAAACATTCTTCCGAAAAATAACCCGTACAACAAAATATAAATAAAGACCAAGAACAACAAACTAACCAATTGAGTGGAAACAAAGAGGATGTACACTGCGAGAGCAGAGCAGATTAATCACTTTAAGGTACAAAGAAATCTGAAAAAAGCGTAGAAAGAAGAAACCCCAATAATAAGCAGTGGCTGTAGAGGTAAATGTCCAGGTGAAATGCTGTTAATATCAGAGGAAGATGTAAAATAGGCTTTGAAAATGCCCCAGAAAATTCCATTATTTACAAATTTGTCTGATGGCAATGAAGTTAAAAATATTGAAAAACAGGAGCAAAAATATAAAAAGCTTAAGCTGGCATGTCGACGAAGACGCGTCTGTGTCAGCTGATACACTCGCACTTCTAATATAGTAAAATAAAACTAGATCAGCTTTGTGCGTAGCTTTGCCCGTGCTTACGCACGGGCTCAACAATTTAAATATTATCGAATCTTTTACTTATTAATTAATTTGATCCCGGTTACAATTTGATATTTTGGATGATAGCTTAGTGCACAAGGTATTCCATACTCACACATGGTCCGGAAAAAAAGTTGCATGATCATATCTAAGGGATGTGATGTAGATAGTCTAACCTAATGCAAGTATTAGTGGCTGCTTTCACGACATTAGAAGTAAAATTTTTATCTTTTTAATCCGAGAGCAATAAAATGAATCATAGATTCTAATATACATTTCTATATCGCCAATGTTAATTTTTCTTTAATAAATTTTTTTATGAAAAATGCTTAAATTAGTATTGCGAATATTTTTTCCAGCTCATTCTTGGTCCTACGTTTCTTTGTTATAAGTTCTGTTATTTTAATTCTTTGCTCGGTATGTGTTGAAAAAACTTACAACCTTGCATATTTGCAATTGCAAGGTCTACTAATTCTTATTCATTGTCGTTTTTATGATTACTTTGAGAAGTTATTTTTTCACCATTGTAATTATTGACATAGCAAATTATTGTCTTACCATATATACCATAAATAGAATCAACCTGCATCAAACTAATTATTTCAATTTATTGAGTTCACGTATCTCTGATTTCTATAATAAGTTTTGCTTTGTTGAATTGTTTTTTAAGTTACAATTACTCTATTATATGCTGTTTCTTTCTTATAATATAAAAGATTTTATCCTTAAAGTACTATTAGTAGAACACTTCAGTATAAAATTGTACGAAGTTAAATCAAGCAATTATGTTTGATTTTGCATTGCAATTATTTCAATTTAATAATACGAAGTGTATCCCAACTGCTTAGGAAAATCACAGTTGAATCGGCCGCCAGGGTACTTGGATGCGGGGAGAAGGTTGAGAGGGTGGTTGGAGTGAATAATCGGCTGTGGGAATTTAGCACACCTTAAATGAAGAGTGAAGTTGCAAGGCTTACATATGTACATTTGGCCTAATGGTGGCTCTGTCTTGAGCTAGTATATTTGGTTTATAGTTTACTCATTTTTTTACGCAGCTATTTTTACCTTTTACTCCCTCCGGTCTAAAATAAGTGATTTTTTGGTTGTTTTCACACATATTAAGAAATTTTCCTTTTAGCAATAACTAGCAATGAAATTGACCATATTATCCTTTACTACCTCTTCACATAAACACTCCTAACACATACTCCAACACTAATTACCCCAAGGGTAATGTAGGAAAAAAAATCATTCTTGAAAGATCACTTATTTTGGACCACAAGAAAAAAGCCAAAAGATCACTTATTTTGGACCGGAGGGAGTAATAACTTTCACGAATATTAGGTACCCGATCATTCCATATTCCCTTTTACCCTTTTAGTAAATTGATACAACTTTACCGGCATCAATAACCTAATTTATGAAAATCTTATGTAATTTTATTTTTAAAGTGAAAGTGGCACCCACATTTTTGAAAAGCCTGTGTAGAAGGATGCCATATGAAAGTTACTCTACGTGCAAAACTTCAGTGAGTATTATAATTATAATAATTAAATTAAAGTACAAAATAAGAGAACACCTATAGAATGTCCAAAATAATAGCTGTGTCTAAAATGCAACTCAGATGTTGGCAAATATACAATGGGCCCACTGTAATCATGATGAACATGGGCCTTCAAAGGGTAAGAAAGTCGGCACAATCAAAATGTATACCCAGTAACTACAGTTACTAAATAACGTGAACCAATCAAAACAAGTCTCTCACATTAATTACCCAAAACATCCTCCACTGCTAAGCAGAGAGATGTCGACGAAGTGATGTCTGCTTGAGCAGCTTCACTCGCACTTCTTATATTGGGAGGAAAAAAAATAACAGAAAGCAAAGTTTCGAGAGCTTCTCAGGCAAGTGATAACAATTAAACCATGAGAAGCGACAGGGAGGAAGATCCAAAGAATGCTACTGTTGATTCAAGATTCAACCAAACTCTCAGAAATGTTCAAGGGTAATTGAACCCTGTTATTTATTCAGATCTATATAATTATCATAAACCCACCACTTAGATTTCCAGTTTTTATCCCCCTATCATTTTAAATGAGAGAATTCAAAGTTATCTATGATCAATTGGACTTGGGGAGTGTCTGATCAGTGAACGAGTAGGCGTATTTTGTAATCTGAATGGTGGATTTGTGATTAGAAATGCATTTAATATTTGTCATTTCCTTTTATGAATTTCTGTGCTACTTACTGTTAGTAAACTGATAAAAACCCAACACTTACTACTAGGACAAAGAGAAGTAGTTAACACAAAGCTCAGTACATTTGTCTGTAGGGTGATATGCCAAAAACTCAAAACTTGGATTCCCAGGAGAATCCTATTTCAAATGTTCAGCTTTTGAGCAAAAATTAGCTTTTACTTGATCAAATGAAGTTTGGCGACAAGACATTGGTGTATGCAGATGAGGCATCCTTAGGTAGAGTTGAACCTTTGATCAGCGCCCAAAAGCTCTGCTTCTTTTTTGCATATGGAGGAATTTGGTTATGCACCTTGCCTAGTTTCTTCACTATTGGTGCTAGCTCCAGCAGGAGATGAATAGCATACTTTGTTTGCATATAAAGTGACTTTTTACTTATTTCTTGAAGTTAATGGTTACAATTTTTAATGATACATTTAACAACTCCATTTCTGGTTTCATTAGTATTTTAATAGTTTGCTTTAGAAGAGTTGAGCAAAACAGAAATGCTGAGGAAAGAAGCCCAAACTTAGCCCCTGAATGTGAACTTCATTGCACATACTTATTGCTTCTTATCCTTTTATTGGATATTGCCATTCTAGTGACTTCTTTTGTTAACATGTCGCAACTTTGTCTCATAGCTATGGCCCTGAAGCACCATCTGAAATCATTATCTTTACTGATTAAAGAAGAAACCCTCTAAAATAATAATCGCTGGTATTTAACAGTCAAAGATGTTGATTACTTTGTTTGATTCGCTTTAAATCGGAACACCTTCTTTTTTGCTTTAACTTTTAACAAGTAAATCACAAAAACTATGATGTGATGCAGGTTGCTAAAGGGACGCAGTTTCCCTGGCAAAGTACTGATTACACGGAGGTCAGACCCAGTGGATAACTCAATAGTGAGATCTCCGGATAATCATGGCAGTCTAAGAGATAGTGAGACGGGACCAAGCCAACAGACAGATGGATCTTTTGAGGTATGACTGGTGCTGACATTCAGTGTACTGGGATTTTTGGTATATCTATTGCTTATATGTATCAGCATAAGTAAGCTCTTTTCTTTGTATATCAGGATGAGCTGCAAAAGAGAAGCAATCTGAATGCTAGCTCATCCGCTAGCCAGTCAAAATCGTCCACGTCAAATTCAGAACACACGTCCAACGAAGTACAGAAGCCATCGATGGGCTCAAGAGCTACTGATTCAGCTAGGCTAATGAAATTCACCAAAGAATTATCAGCGCCAACTGTTATTCTAGGTACCAAGATATGTTTTTGGTTATATAAACATATATGATTCTTTTCTTGCATAATTTGGCATATGTTTTATGATATTTTTTTATCCCTACCTAGGAGCTCCCAACTTTGCTTCCTTGATGACTCGAACCTTCAACCTTAAGGTTGGAGGTGGAGGTTGCTTACCGCTTGAGCAAACGTCTCTTGTCAAAATTTGGCATATAGTGGTGAGAGCTTATTATTTGGGAACCTATGGGTGCCAAGATCCTAAAAAGATGACTTTTGTTTGACTAGTTAAGGATTGAGTATCCTTTACATGCATTTGCTCCTGACTTTTAACTATTAATTTCTTTGAGAAATTGGGAGAAGAATTTCCTTTCTCACCATGAAAGGCAGTCCCTTTAAGGCGGTCAACCTTCCTGACCCTCTCCCTCCCCCTTAATCTTTTTTTTTTTCATTTGTTTCAAGTATGCTCCGGGTTTGACAATCCTTGACATAGGTCCCCTAACAACTCATAAAATATGGTTGCAAATGCATTGTAGATGCTTGGTACCTTTCCCGATCCACCAAACGTGTAACAAATGAGCTTATGACTTAACACAGATGCTATAACTAATTCAAAGGAACATTTATGTAGTGTAGATGCACAAAACTGTAATAATGCGACTTATACTGTTTCTAGACGTCAATGAAAAAAAGAAAATACAAGAAATCTGAAAATGCTCATGGAGTATTTGTACAGCATCTTGATGATGCTGTGTGAGAGTTGAAATTCTAGTTTCGCCTACAATAGTCTTTGAGAGGAGAATTTCCTTATATCCCTTATGATCTCACTGCAATTGGGTTTAAAGTTCAGGGTAGGGGATGTAATGCTTAAATTAGTATGCTTGGGATGTAATGCTTAAATTAGTATGCTTCCTTTGTTCCTGGAAATGAATAGATGCAGGAAAATGTTCCTGTTCACCGCACCTTGTTGAGATGGGGGAATGGAATTAGGTGATGCAGCTTAAATCCGAAGAAGATAGAAAGTTTGAGCCGCTCGGAACTTCATTATCAGTTGACTCTCAGGATTAAGTAAAAGACTAGGAGAAAATCCATCATGCTATGTTTAACAACAGCTACAAGTCTTCAGAAGTTACAAATTAAAAGAAAAAACTGATAATATAAAGGTTTCATTTGGCCTTACAACTTCAATACGAACATTTTGACAGGCACTCCACTAAGACACCTACCCAATAGGAAAGAAAAAGAACTAGAAACTAGTATGTAACCTGCCAAAAGTAATTTATGGTCTATCAAAAATTACAGCAAATACTCATGAACATAAAGTACCTGTTACCCATGAAAGAAAAATGTTTGATGAAGCGCTAACTAATCTTGATATCCTTGAAATTAGAACTTTTTTATAGTAATAGATTGGGACAGTTGAAAAGTATAACTTAAAGAAAGGCAATAAACTAGTATGCACGCAAGGGTGTGGCCTAGTAGTCAATGAAGTGGGTGAAAACCATGAGGTCTCAAGTTCAAATCCCAGCGGAGGCAAAAAATACTAGGTCCTTTTTCCCCATCTATCCAAACATTGGTGGATAGAGTTACATGATACCTGCTGCTAATGGAAAGGGCAGGTTCATTTGCGTCAAGATTTTGAGCGGCTCGTTGTACGCTTACTTGAAATTCTTACTATACCTAAAGAAGAGCTTTGATCTCCAGCCAAGGATAAGCCTATTGGAGGCTCGAAATTGTCGTAATGGCCTACTCGTACATCCCTCCCCGCCACTTTAAATACTATCATTGGCATATCCTTTGGCACGTTGATCACAAAGGTGATGCTTTCTTTGGCTTCCATTCTTTAGCCTCACGGGCTCTGTGAGTTTTCACTAGCTAAGGTCTTTAATGTTCAGACTAAAAGAGATAGTTCTACACATATCATAACCGAAATTACTGTTTCTGGTTTGCTCTCACACAGGTTTTGATCTTTCTTCCTTCATGATGACTTGTATAGATGTGAAGATTTAGTAGCTATTGTTTGTTACAACTTACAACTTGGAAAGCTATTTTGTTAATTCTCAATGCTATTACCGGTCTGATTGTTGCATTTTCTTCTTTATGTACTTCCCAACTTCTCTTGCAGAAAAATTGCGTGAATTAGCTTGGAATGGTGTCCCGTCATATTTGCGACCCAACATATGGAGGCTTCTTTTGGTATGGCTCTAATTAACTTTATTTTTCTGGAAACATTTTAGGTCAGTAGAGAGGAGGAATTATATATTAATATGGGATCAAGGATGCCGAAGTACAAGAAATAAAGAAAGAAAAAAGAAAAAAAAACAAAGATAAAAAAAGGGGTAAGATCTTGAGGGGCCGACAACTAGAAATGTAATCTAGTAGCTGGCAAAAAGATTCAACTCCTTCCGTCAACTCTTCCTTATATCACAATGTTGATTGGCTTGATTATTAGGGAAAATTTGATTTGATTCTGATTGAGATTTGATTTTATTTTGATTGATTGTAATTTATTTTCCTTCTTAAAATAGTCATAGGACCTTGTGTATAAACACTTTTGCTTAGGGATGTAAGAAACATAAAAAAGTCTTTTCTTCTTTTCAAATTTACATGGTATTAGAGCCATTGCTGCCTTTTTGATGTGAGTTATCTCCCTCGCAGCATTAGGGTTCCGTTTTTATCAAAGACACTTAGGGTTCCGGTGTGGCAGTTAGCTTTCCGGTCGGATCTGCTGTTTTGCAATGGCTTTTTCCGGAAAATTTTTCAGATCTCGGGTCACAGGCCTATTCCGACCCTTCCCATCTAAGTTTCGGCAGATTCCGACTAGTTTTTCGATGGGTTTTTCTGACGTGATCAGGCATATTCTATCTCTAGAAGTTTATTTCTATATTTCTGAATATCCCTAGTCGGTTTGTTGACACTAAGGATTATTATTTGTTCAAACTATTGGTGATACAAAAACTGATAATAATTCTGCCTCAAACTAATGCTGTTAAATTGGATGGGGCTGGTACGGATCTTTCTTGGTCAAGATCTTGTCTACTTTTTATTAAGTCTAGAAAGTTACTTGGGTATATTACTAGAGAAAGAAAGCACCTGCTATGATTGACCTTAACTATGTCAATGAGATTCTGATAATTCCCATGTTATGACATGGCTTTGAACACTAAGCACCCCCGAATCTCTAAGCGATATTTGTTGCTTGATACGACTAAAAAGACCTGGAATTCAACTAGGTGCACTTACTCTCGCAAGGGAAATGATGCCCAGATCTTTGAGATTCGAAATAAAATTCATGCTACTGAGCAAGGTGAGTTGACTATCACTGATTACTATTAAGTGGGTTATGGTAGGAAATTGACTATTATCAGGATCTCCAAGTGAAGTGTACTAATGATGCAGTTCTCTTTCAACAATTTGTTGAAAAGGGAATGGTCTATGATTTTCTGGCCGGTTGAACCAAGAGTATGATCAGACCAGGGTTCAAGTTCTCGGTAAAATTCCTTTTCCTTCTTTTGAGGATGCATACTCTTATGTTCAATAGGAAAAGAGTTGACGAGGGGTCATGCTTTAGAGGGTGTTTGGATTGACTTATTTTAAATGCTTATTGCTTTTTAAGCATTTTTCTAGTTTTTGTGGTGTTTGGCAATAATAAAGTGCTTAAAAGCACTTACTTTTAGGCATGAAAGTACTAAAATAAGCCAAAAGCCAAAAGTTGGGTATTACCAACTTATGGCTTTTAGCTTATAAGCTATTATTGAAAAGCCAATCCAAACACCCTCTTATTCAGCACCAACCTAGAGTCTTGGTTTACTATGTCTCATGAGCAAGCAAGGGTAATCACTTTTGCTAAAGATCATATTCACTGTGATTATTGTGGAAAGCCAAGGCATACAAATGAGACATGCTGGAAACTGCATCGTAGACTAACTAGAGGTCGGGGAGCAAAAACGTGTAAGTCCATCAAGGGTTCAGGCTAATATCAGAAAATGTGGAGACATCTAAGGAAACTGCTTTTGGAGAAGCTTTGTCTTCGGACGAAGTTCAGCATCTTCATCGTCTTCTGAACAAACTTGATTCTTCTAATGTGTCCACTTCCAATTACGTGTAGTCATGTATTGCCTTTAATGCTCACCTTAATTCTTAGATTATTGATTATGGTGCGAATGGACATATGACAGGCTCCTGTAAAGACTTCCAAAACTACTCTCTGTTCCCAAAGGGGATTATGTCAGAATAGCCAATGGCTTCCTAACTCCTGTCTCTGGAACAGGTTCTGTTTTCTGTACACTTGATATTTTATTATCATCCATTCTCCATTTCCTGTTAACCTGTTAGCGCCATCAACAAAAGACTAAATTATAGTGTCGAGTTCTTTCCTGATCATTGTGTTTTTTAGGATCTTCAAATAAGTAAGAAGATTGGTAGTGGTAGACTGCATTATGACTAATATTGGATTCATGGAACTCGAGACTTTGGTCGGGCCTTTTTTGGAGGAAATAAGGATGTCAACCAAGAACTAATACAATGGCATAAACGGTTGAGGCATCCATCATTTTTTGTTTTAAAGAAGTTATATCGTAGTTTGTTTTTTCCGGAAATGAGTTTGAATCTTTGTTTTACGATGCTTGAAAAATTTCCAAGCATACAAGGAACTCTTATCCTTTAAGTGATAATAAAAGTACAACTTCTTTTTCAACTATTCATTCTAATGTATGGGGTCCTACTCAAGCAGTTTCTTTGTTGGGTAGTCGATTGTTTGTTATTTTCATTGATTGTTGCACTACGATGACTTGGGTGTATTTGTTAAAAGCCAAAAATGCAATTTTCCCCTATTTTTCAGTCATTTCATAAGAAGATTTGTACCCAATTTGAGGCTAAGGTAAAAATCTAGCGAATTGACAATGGCACAGAATGCATGGACAAATATTTTGGTGCTTATTTGGAGTCTTATGCTATGTTGCGCGGACTCTCCAAAATACTGCCGCACTCGTGTCGGATTCTCCAAAAATACACTGCTTTTGGAGAATCCGACACGCACCCGGCGATATTTTCGGAGAGTCCGAGCAACATAGGTCTTATGGGATAATCCACCAAACTAGTTGCCCTTATACTAGTGCACAAAATGGGGTTGCTCAAAAGAAAAAATAAGTATTTGTTAGAAGTGGCAAGATCTCTTATGTTTACTATGAATCTACCAAAACCTTACACCTACGAAGATCAGGTGACTAACAACTATATCCGTCTGAATACGAGAATAACCAAGGAAGACACACTTGAGAGCACGAGGAGCTAACTTATCTTTTTCAGAGACTAAGTTATGAACGAAACATGTGCTCCCAAAAACACGAGGGGGGAACAAAGTATAAGGGTGATTGGGAAACAATATTGAATGCGAAATTTGATTCTGGATGGGAGATGAAGGCATCCGATTAATCAAATAACAAGTTGTGAGAACTGCATCGCCCCAAAAACGCAACGGAACATGAGACTCAATGAGAAGTGTGCGAGCAGTCTCAATGAGATGCCTATTTTTTCTCTCAGCTACCCCATTTTGTTGAGATGTGTACGCACAAGATGTTTGATGAATGATTTCATGAGAGTTCATAAACTGCTGAAATAGGGAAGACAAATACTCTAGGGCATTATCACTACGAAATGTGCGGATAGAAACCCCTAATTGATTTTGAATTTCAGTGTGGAATGTCTGAAAAATAGAAAACAACCCAAACCGATTTTTCATCAAAAATATTCAAGTGCACCTAGAATAATCATGGATGAAACTGACAAAGTAGCGGAATCCCAAGATAGAACTAACCCAACTAGGACCCCAAACATTTGAATGGACTAAAGTGAAAGGTAACTCCGCTCGATTATCGGGACGCCGAGGGAAATGGCGAGTATGCTTACTGAGCTAACATGACTCACACTCTAGAGTGGACAAGTGAGATAAACTAGGTACTATATTATGAAGTTTTGACAAACTGGATGTCCCAACCGTTTATGTAATAAATCTAGTGAATTAGTAACAAGACAAGTTGTTGAAGGAAGACAAGATGTGAGTCCATGTGATTTAGCAAAGATAAGGCAATAAAGTCCATTTGATTATTGCCCGGTATCAATGATATGCCCTATACTGCGTTCCTGTATAAAAACAAGGTCATCAAGAAATAAAACAGCGCATTTAAGTGATTTGGCTAAGCGACTAACGGCTATGGATTAAAAGGACTACCGGGAACATAAAGAACTGAATCTAAATGTAAGAAGGAAGTCGACTTGCTTGACCTATTGCAGTTGACATGGCTTGAGACCCATTGGCCATTGTGACTGTTGGAAGAGATTGAGAATATGAAATACTAGTGAAAAGAGATTTGTTACCAAAAATATAATAAGATGCACCTGAATCAATGATCCAAGAATCAGAGGATGAAGATTTTGGAGACACAAATTACATGTTTGAACAACGGAAGCTTTCTCTAAAGATGTCTGTTTACACGCTTTGTGCTGAATGAACTCAATATAATCCGGTAGAAAAACCATCCAACTATTCATAGTATTGGATCCCATGTCGCTACAATTAATTTCTCAAATTCTTGACTAAAAGTTGCAGGGTTAACTTGAATATAGTGGAAATGAATAACTCCTAGAAAATTGAAGAAATATTTGGGAAAACACTGTTCACATCAGAGAAAAATAACACTATTTTATGCCGAAAACACTGTTCACACCGGAAAATTTCAAAGTTGTCGGAATCTGTCGAAAACAATACTGGTGGACTCGGAATTGCTGTGCGAACAGGTTGTCCTGAAGAAGCTCGGCAAAAAAATGACTGGAGAATCATGCAGCGCCGGTGCGTGGGACAGACGCGCCGGTGGAATCACAGATCTGGGTGGCGCGTGGGGTGTCTGTTGCCGGAGAATCTTAATGATGTTTGGTCGCCGGAGTTTTTTGAGTCTAATGGTGGTGTTGGTTTGTGCATAACACTCACCAAGCGTGAGATGATGCAAATCAGTCACTTAGGTCACCAAAAATTGCACGGTGACTTAGTTCTTTCTTCCCGGATGTTGCTGGAATGACGCACAATGATCTTTTCTCAGTAATGCTCTGATACCATGTGAGAAGCACGGGAGAAAATATTATTGCTTCTTATTCTATGTTATAATGAGCCCTATTTATATGTATACATAACACATCACCTA